TCCAGCAGCCTCCAGTGTCTCATGTATTAGCATCCCTGCACTTCCAAATGGTGGTGGCAGCACTTTAACTAAAGCTTGTTCAACAAGCTTTAGATAAAGTGCCCCTGCTGCCATTTTGAAGCGCGGGGACGCTGATACGAGACACTTCGGGCGCTTTAATTAGAGTAACTTTCAGAGCTGCTCTAATTAAAGCCCACCCCTCCTTCCACTTCCAGAGCAGGTTATAAATGCCCATGATTATCATCATTTTTTCTAAGTACCATGGAATTGCAATTGCCGTAATAACGTATTTTTAAACTAAAAAAATAGTGGCAGTTTGGTGATTTAGAAGGTTCTCTCTCCCCACACAAATGAGGAGCTCTGCAATAGACCATGCATGAAGGTTCTAAATACAGAGGTGTACAACCTGGCCTAATGCCAATGGTGATGGCTGCCCAACTTTCATCAGAAGCTTTATCCGCAACCGCAGAATACGCCAATGAGCAAACACATGTTTTTTCTACCATTAATTAGATTATAAAAATATTCCTGGATTTAATAGCATAGATTTTTCATTTCTTGCAATAATTAAGAAGAACAACTACTGCCAAATGTCTTCACTTTTAGTTTTAATGTAAAATTCTTTGTAAATTTCAATACGAGGTAATTTAAACAGAAAGTTTTTTAAACACCCTCGAATAAACACTTTTTGGTATGATTTCTAATAGAACGGGGAAATGTTTCTGAATTGGAGGTAATATGCCCATGTATTAACCACTTCTTCACTCTTTGTGAAGAAGGGGTGCTGGCTATGTTAAAAAGAGGCTTTATGATGGTAAACCACAAAATGACCGCTGTTGTTTCTTTCACACAAACAACAGCTTCACAAGAAATTATTAATAGCCAGAAATTCTTTGTGATGTGACTCACAGGAAACAGTATATAAAAGTCTTTCCAAATATAAATGTCTTAAAACACTATAGTTGAATGGACATGGGAACTTAACTAGCTCTTAAGTTCATCTCAGAAGTGGAGACACATTGGCAGGGAAGCTTGCTCAATTCTCAAATAGAAGGCTTAGGTTTCCACTGCTGTTATTGTGACACTTTTTATAAATGTAAAATAGTCTTTTCAAAGGAGGAAATAAATAGATTTCTAAATCACAAGTTTTAGTTCTCTGAAAATTAATGTTATTACTTAGCAATTCTACAATCCTTTAGATTTCAAAACTGCCTTAAAACAGCTAATTTTCTCAACATCCTTGTGAGTTAACACATCTCTGTTTTACAGATGGACACACTCAGGCATGGAGATTAAAGGTACTATCCACCCTACTTATTTTAACTGTGTTTAAAAGCACAGCGATTTATCACAGTGGCTCCCCAGCCATCTCACAATACAGAGTAGACCTGGCCAGGTGGTTAAGAGCAGTCCAAATGATAAAAACATCCGTACACTTTGCTTCAGCTGGGGTTCTTTTCAAGAATAGAACATGGTTGGGGGCAGGCACAGGGAGACAAGGAGTGAGGGGCAGAGGGCACATGGGGGGGACGGGAAAGGGGGCAAGGGGCAAGTGGCAGGGGAGCAGATGGTAAGGGGCAAACACAGGTGTCGGGGGGGCACACAGAAGAGTGTCAGGCACTGGGGGGGACATCTGGCAGGGGTCAAACACGTATGGCAGGGAAAGTGGAAGAGGACAACAGGAAGGGGTCTGGATCCTCTGTCCCCCACCACTGTTTTCCCTGCCACAGTCAGAGCTAGAGACTCCACAGAAGGTAAGTGGTGGGTGCAAGGGTGCAGACAGTGGGGGAAAGCAGGAAGTGGAGGGAGAGCAGGCAGCAGGTGACAGTAACACCAGAGGGGTGAACAGGTGGTCATGCATAGGCACAAGTGGTGGGAGTTGCGGGGAGAGGCACTTGGGGCAGGCAGCAGGGGAGCAGGCACAGCCATGGGGGCAGGCAAGGGAGTAAGTGGCAGTGGGGCAGGGAGCTGAAGGGCTAGAACCAGGAAGGGCAAGTGGCAGGGGTTACAGGCGACAGAGGGGTAGGCACAGACATGTGGGTGGGCAAGGGGTTGTAGGGGCAGGAGCAGGCAGCAGGGGGGCATGTGATGGAGGGCAGGGGGTAAGTGTACACATGGGGGGAACAGACAGCAGGGGGGTAGGCACAGGGGTGGTGGCAAGGGGACAGGGGTCTGTCCCCTTACCCCCTGCCACTGCTTTCCCTGCCACAGCAGTGGGGATGACATATTTAAGACCTTCCACTAATTAGGTTCTATACATGGAAAATAATAACAACTTCCAATGTATAGAATCTAAGTATTGGGGGTCATCTTAAGTTCAATGTCATCTTGGATTTGGGTGAACGTAGTAAACAATTTGCCTGAAACCGCAGGATGACTTGTCTACTGTAGGATACAGCCCATGATTTCCATTATTGCTACCACTGATACATTTCCACCGGTGACAGCAGCCATGATGGAAGGTGCTGGTAGCTCCTGATTATTTTAACTGGTTAGGGGTGCCTATACATGAGTGTAGAGGCTGCTCTGATGCACTGGAATTCCATTAATTGAGTCTGCCAGAGTGTGGCAATTACCGCGCTCCAGCAGCCTCCTGTGCCTTGTGTATCAGTGTCCCTGTGCTTAAAAATGGCAGTGGGGGCACTTGATCTAAAGCTTGTCGAATAAGCTTTAGTTCAAGAGCCCCTGCCACCATTTTTAAGTACAGGCACGCTGATACATAAGACGCATCTGCGCTTTAATTAAAGCGGCTCTCGGAGCCACTCTAATTAAAGCGCCACCCCTCATTCCCCGAGCACGTGTAAAAGTGCCTGTGATATCTAAACCTGCTCTCAGTACTTCCACACAATATGATTGTTAATATGCTGGTGAACCACCCTTGCTTTCAGTGGTAGCCACCATGGGAAACTTTGGGTAAAAATATCCTAGAGTTGACTTGGTTATTGTGTCTTTAACAGGTTGAGACTGGAACTTATGAACTCCTAAATTCCAGCCTCTTAATAAAACACCAAAACTCAAACTCTTGGGCATGCTGAAAAAATAGAACAAGTGTCTTGACTATATGAAGGTTTACTTGATTTGTCAAATTAATGTCCCAGAATTAAAAAAAAATATATTCATCTAAAAATATCTTCTTTAAGGGAAACTTGTTAAAGGCAGAATCATCATAAACTAAATGACACTTGATAGTTAATATTACATTTACATTAGTGTTCAAAACATAAAAGTTGGGTAATTTGAAACAGGCTAAAGATTCAGCATAGCATTAAGTAACAAGGCTCTAAAACACTCAAAGAATGGTAGCAAATTTCAAGTCCTAGTTTTAAGAGCTTTAGAACTAGTGGGCCATGCAGTTTTTATTCTGGTGAAGCTCTATCAGTACCATGTGGGATATTAACTCATCTGTCTAAACATATGGCTCTTGACAAATGAAAGCTGCAGGGAGGATAGGCTTCTGCACTGAAATTGAAAACACTTTAAATTAAATCATTGCAAATATTTGTGCTTGTTTCTGTTAAAGGCCTATGAACCACTTGAGCTATTACTCTCTATCACCTTACTTCACAAGAGTCCATTGTTCTGAACTGAAAGCAGAAGGGATTTTTAATATGGAAACTTTTCCATTTACATCTGTTAGTTAGTATCCAGTTTTGCTGAAAGGAGAGAGATAAGCCAGGTTTTAATTCTCTGTCCTGTATCCTCAAGTTCCCATGTGCAGGACACCTGGAAAAGCTAACAAGGCTGGTTTGCTTGCTCAGTGCAATTTTTTTTTGACCTTTTAATATACTTGAGTAAGGATTTTATATCTCAGGAAGCCTTATAGAGCGGGATTTGAAAGGTAAGCTTCAAAGGGAAAATTAAAATAATTTTAGAAAAGGAACCTTTGCAAATTCACATGAAAAAATTATGACTCATCTAGGATCCTGCTTCCGAGAGGCAGCCCAAAACAGTAGTTTCTACACAAAGCAGTAGTTTCTACACAACTACAGCAGCTCTGCAACAGCTGCTACTCAATTTCTTGCGGCCTAAAAGTGCATTTGTTAAGTAGTTAGTTTCTAGCTATATTTTTCCTGAATGCCATGCCTAATTGATTGTGGAAACTAGACATTGCAGTTTTCACTGTTAACTCACCTTCCATGTTTTGTTTGCAGATCACCTTTATTAATATTATGACAGTGGTTTGCACTGAAGCCTGTAGGCATTCAGCGTGTGCTGGGAACACAGAATCCTGATGTCATTTTTTAAAACAAATGTTCATTTATGTGCAAAGATTTTTTCAATATTTAAGGCACTGAGGTTGGATAAGATTAAGAACAGACTTCATAAAATAAGTTACCAAAGTTCAGAAGAGCCTACTGACCTTTAAAAGTGGGTAGGTGAATAAGACCCCATGTTTCACATCACGCACAGCATTATGTAATCACCACCTTGCATGCATCTCAGAATGTAGGACAGTTCTCACTGAATTGGGGGAATGCCATAAAGGTTTCTGTGTAGAAAAGTGTGGCAGTATGGGCAAGCACAGTGATAAAGAGACCACAGCTCTCAAGCCACAAGTGGCTGTTCACTTCTGACTCTTTACAAAAAATGTTATGAATGTTTTATTCTTTTTTCACCGGATGCATTGAGTGTGTTTTTCCTGCAATCATGAACAAAGCAACATATGCACTCTTTCTCTATCAGTGCCAAGTAACATACTTCAGGCTTTTCTTTTGAACTGGAGTCTGCCACAATTGACTGAAGGTTGTATATGAGGTTGTGGTGCTGTGGTTCACACTGACTGCTCCTGTGACTCCCGAGCCAGTCACCAGTAGTGTAACTGCAGGGAGCGGGGTCCACACCACTGCAATTGGCACTGCACTAGCCTGGCGCTGCCTCATATGTCATGGCTGCCCCAGGTATGAAGTCACCCTGTTACGCTTCTGCCAGGCAGGTCTTTGTCAGTGGGTGAGGGCATTATTTTTCACTCATTTTCTTTTTCTTTTTCTTTTTGCTTCTAGGATAGCATCGAGTTTCGAAACATCTGCAGTCACATGGCCTCACAAGGGCAGGGATGGCAATTTGACAGAGACTTGTATGCAGCATACGAATGTTTGAAGACAATTGTTAAGAAACTGATCTGTTCACTTGCAGTTTTCCCCTCGGAGTCTTATGCCATCGCTCAATCTTCTTTGAGGCAAATCTTACAAAACCTCCCTGAGATGAGAGAGACAAGATCATACAGATGAGCACCACTAATACCCATAAGAAGTGAAAGCCTTATAGAACCTTCTAACTGCCTCCAAAATCATGAATAATTTGAAAGGCTGATACTACAGTCTTTACCTAAAAGAATGGTCCTGTTCATTTCATGCAAATAAGAGCTTCATAATCAAGGTCCAAATCCTGCTTTCATGATGAGCATCTTTGTCTCTCTCTGGAGTTTTAGTCAAAGTGATATCAGTGGGAGTTAACGTCTAATTTAAGGAGGAGCTCTGCATTGTGTATGACTGTACTCCAAATGAAGAGCACTGCAGAACTGGACACAAATATTGAGGTAGCATGACAAAAAATGCTGGTTGAGAAAAGGACTTACCAAAATCTGTGACTGTCCATCCCTCTTAGTGATAAAATTGTTTCCAAAGAAATTTTTTAGCTAGTTAATATTTTACTATGAAGAAAAAATGGAACTGAAGGGTTAAGGTGTGGAGTTGCCAATTCAGAAAAGGAAAAGGAAAATGAGTAAAATGTTATAGACCCTGGGAATCAAAATTTAAAGTAATACAAACTCTCAGTAGTTGATCTCATGAATGTTAAGGGAAATCAAACACAGAGGAGCCATGAGTACGGCTGTACTTTAACATATTTAAAAATCGGAGCAAATATTTGTGGAAGTCATTTTGCAAAACTCTCCCAGCTCTGGTGGCTATGCAGTGCACAGTAAAAAAAAATTGGCTTTCCTAATGCCAAACTGGGAGCATTTGTAAAGTCCAACTTGCTTCTGTTGAACATCTGCAGCTGCAATGTTGAAAAGAGGCATTTTTCCTATTTGCAGTAAGATTTAATGTCTGTGTGATTGCTAAGCAGCAATGAGGCTTTGTAGAATCTTTGTTTGCAAAGGCTAAATTTAACCCATATTAGCTGTAACTCATGCAGTAGATGAAGAAATTCTATAGAGCACGAGATAGAAAATTTCCTCTGTTGGCTGTTGTAGTGGATTTGGAGAGGTGATTTTTTTCTTATGTGTTTTCATGAACATAATCATATGAATACTTTTCAAGTATGATTCTGTATATTCTTTGATTGGCCATATTTTATGTCCACACTTTATATATGACAGTGCTCAGTTTTATAGGATCTGTATCATGTATTTGAAAAAAATCTATGAAAAGCAATACCAAAAATAAATATGTGAAAAAAGTGCAGGGGGAAGGGGGGCAGTGCCTTTTTTGT